TGGACCAAATGGAAGAAACAATCAAGTGCTCGAGATTTCATACTTCAAAGCTCTAGCACTTGGGAGACTATAGGTAGCAGGCAAAGAAGACTGCAAGTCAAAGAAGAAAGAAGACTAAAAGTTGGTTCAAGCCTGGATCAACCCACAAATCAAAAGTCAAGAGCCAATCAAGAGCTAAGAAACAAGTCTGAACCAAAAACCTTTATATTAAGCTTTCATAAAGTGTAAACTCGCGGACATAAATTATAAGATCCTACGAGTACTAAGGTCAAAGGCAATGTTTAGTTATGGGTTGCAAAATATACCCTAGAATTTTGTAAGAACTGTTATAAAGAAAACATTTATGAAAGAGTTGTAGATGTTGTATAAAAAGTTACTTGAATACATGTAAAGTGTTATATAATTTGAAAGTTCAAAATATAATACTTCCTCAAATTATTCACGAGATTTCTTTGAAATATGTATTTTCCTACTTCTTTCAAATGTTTACACCAATATGAAGTTGAGACGTCTTCTTCATTAGTGTCTTTTATAAAAGGGCCCTATTTGATAAAAATTCGTGTCTATTCAAGAATCACGAAATACTAAAGCATATTTAAATGCAAATTAAAGAGTAGAAAAGAAACTCAAATAAAATATTATAAACTTGGCCAAAACTAAGTATGACCTTAGTTAAAACCAAGGCACTTTGATAATAAACCCCAAAACATACCAGGGGTACAAACTTGCCAATTGTTCCAAAAAGAAAAAAAAAACAAACTTCTCAACTAAAAGTTCAGAACACTATGGGGCAGGATCTAAAGCAGTTCTATCAGCAGCAAGAGAGGCAGAATTCAATGAGGCATCATCAGTAACGGGAGAAGACACAACTTGAGCAGAAGAGGTTTGAACATCAACTTCATCAGGAGTAAGTTCATCACCTTCGGGAACGCCGACCTCAGGTGAGAAAAAGTTCTGACGTTGCTGAGTTTTTTCAACAGTTTCCTTAGCTTTTGCAATCTCAGCAGTCAAGTTAAAGCCTTCCTGGCTAGCCTCCATCAAAGTCTCAAGACGCGTATTCAAAAAAGCCCAACTTACATCAAGAGTTGCTTTATCTTTAAGGGCCTCGTAATCTTTTTCCCGTTGCTCAATTTTAGCCTCCAACTCTTCCCTCTCAGCCAAAGAAGCATCATAAGAAGCCTTCAAAGGGGCAAATGATCTCTCCAAGAACTGGACCTTATCTGAAGATGCATGGAGGTCTTCTTGAGCCCGGCGTAAACCTCCTTCTGATTAAGCAAGTCTTTCAAACCCCTAATTTCTTCGTTAGCTTTAGAAAGCTGCTCCGCAAATGAAGACTCAAGAATGTATTTGTCTTTGCCCACTTGACTGGAAGAGGCTTTTTCAATTGCCAATTCTAATGCCATCACTTGTACTTGCTGCTCCAAAGCACATTTCTCCTCATCCAAAACTTCTTTTTCCAACTGAAGACTCTCATACTTTTCACTCCAGTTATCTGCTTCCGTACGATAATCATTGACTAGCTGCTCGGTATTGACAATTCTCTTCATAAGCACCGTACCTATCAAATAGATCTACACAAAAAGGAAAGAAGTGATTATCGAACAAAGATAAAAATCACGAGGGGAGTAAAAAAAAGTTAAGCCTTATACCTTCAAAGATGAATGAACAATATCATTCATCCACGTTAAAGAACTGTGGCTTTCCAACTTAGACTTCTCAACTGGGCCAATTAAAGGTTTTAGGCACACATCGTCTTGGCCAAACTTTTTCAAAAGATTACCATCCTCGGGGTCTTTAATGGTAACTTTTTTCATCCTATTGCTATTGGAAGAACCAACTTCAACACGAGAAGTGGTAGCAGTAAGGACAGTTGAGGAAGTGAAAACAACCACGGGGGGAGCAGTAGCAGCAGCGACAGGAGCAAAAGCTTGAGGACCAGTAGGAGCGGACATGGGGAAAGAGGCAAGAGGAGTTTCTTCAGAAACAAAGTCAAAATCTTCATTATCAAACCCACGGGAAAACAATTTATCAGTAGAGTCACGAGGTGCAACATTCATCTCCTTATCAGGGTAAAACAACACTTTCAGGCTCATTCACGGGAACTGAACTTGGAGGAGGGGTGACTTCATCATCCTAAATAACGCGCCTTCTAGACCGAGGCATGTGCACTAAGGAACCCTCTTCTCGTTCCGCTTCACCATCAGAGCCATGAGCTCTCTCGGCTTTTCTCTTTGATGAGGAATTCAAAATTATTTCTTGAGCAAGAGACAAAGAAAGTCTTGATGAAGTAATAGACACGGCACTGACACCTCGAATGGGAAATCCCAATAAAGGAAAAAGTTAGAAATCCCCAAGTAAATACGAAAGAAAGAAAAAAATTAATTAAAGGAAGAGATAACATGAGTTTTGACTTTCCAGCCAAACCTATGAGAAAGGTATTTCCAAGATCTTCTTTCTATGGGGGAAACCAATAACATCTTCTCTACCCAAGCATGGAAGTCTGGTATTTTATCAAAAACTTCCATGGTGTCTAAAAAGAAGTAAAAAATAACATCCATAAGATCGTCAATTTCTTCCTCTTTCGTAAAAGAAGAAAAATATGAAAAAGAACTTACGTGCAAAATTTCACTTCTCTGGAAAAGGCATGCTCTCTTCACCCACTAACCACTTGTGGAGCAGCAACGAAACGGGCATACCAGCCACGATTCTTATCATCTTCAGCGCTAATCGAAACCCTTTTGCTCCTGGCAGCGAGAGTGAAAACCCTTAAGCGGAACAACTTAGGGGAATACAGATGAAGCAAGTGTTGAGAAGTGAAGGGTAAAGAGGCCAAATTAGATAAGTGTCGTAAGCATGCAACGGCTCTCCATACAATAGGACCAATCTGTCCTAAGCAAACGTTGAAGAAGCGACAAAATTCTATGATAACTAGGTCGATAGGGGTTCTGAAACCTAAAGTAAAAGGATATGTGTAAACAAAAGAATAACCAAACAGGAACGAAGTTATCCTTTGGTTTGGACCAGGAATTAAAATTGGAAAATCAGGCTTCTAGTAGCATTCTCTTCGCACAAGAGAAATCAAACCATCAAGAATCTGAGAAGGATAGACATCAGCACGATCATGGGAAGTCATAGAAGTAACTTGGTTCCTAATTGATTCACGATCAGTGGAGAAAGGAAATTCCATAGGGAAAATTTCATCTACTATTGGTTCTCGAAGGGGTTCCCCTGATTCTCTATTTTTGGCAGAAGATCTATGGGTTGAAGAAGCCTTAGTCCTAGATGAAGAAGGGGTAACAATTTTGGGTTGAGAAGAAGAACCACGGTTAGATAAAGATCCTAACGTACGTAACCTACCGCCTCTTCTACTCCTAACAGGAGTAGTTGAAGGAGGAAGTTCATCTACGATGATTGTTCTACGAGGATTGGGGTTTGGTGAAAACATGGATGCAAGAAAGTAATATGAACTGAAGAATAAGAACAATTAGAGGGGAAGGATACTGTAGATTGAAGGTTTTCGTGAGACTAAAGGCACATGGGTATTTATAAGAACGAGCAACCGTCATGTAAAGTGAGTCATGATGGAAATATCATAATGAAGTAGTCACTTCGTGACTGACGCAGCCGCAAGAAAGCCCTAAAAAACGCTGATGAGTCGCAAACCCAATTGGCGGAGGCCAGGTGGCACATGCATTAAATGGAAGTGACATACAATGTGTTGGTTCTGAAAAGACATAATGATACATGGGAAACGGCGACAACAATTCCCGCCATAAATACATACCACTTCCCAAATATTCAATTGCATAATATTCGGCAAATGGGGGGGACTATCTGTATTAGTAGAAAATAAATATGACACGTGGAATTATGTATGGTTGACAAGACATGATACGTGGATCGCTAAGAAGATGACAGCTGGAATATTGCATTAGAAGATGCACGAGATACAAGAGCCATGGACAAATCACTCACGGGATGAAGGGATGCAGTTGCTCGTGTCTAAATCATTCAGTAAAAATGGGTTGAATAAATCAAGACAATAAGAAGGGGAATATTCATGAACCTCTAATTAATGAGGAATAAGAATTGGAACCGTTATAAAATCTCCAAAAACAGTTACGATTGTCAATTATAACGGATCGTTAGTGTCATTAATGTCATAATGATTCGGCCATAAAAGGGAGAAAAAGTTATATTTGTAAACCCCTATAAAAGGAAAGAGAATTTCATTTTTAAGGATCATATGAGACAATACTGAAATTATTCACTTTACTTTTCTGCTTTTCTCTATATTGACTTTGCTATCAACTATCTCTTTACTTATTCTTGTTCTTTTCCTTTCATATAATTGAGAAAGTACGAAATTTCTTAGTTATTAGAAACCCGAGTTTTTCTAAAAATAGGCCTTGACTGAAGATGCATTTTTTGGTTAAACACCATTAGTGCTATAATTGACATTGATGAGACTTGTAACGGTCATATTCTCCTTTGAAGAGGGAATGACCTGTCTTCTCAATGTTTGGCATAAAAATAATAACAATTGTGGTATAAATAATTGCTAACTATTTATATTGGAATGAGAAATTCATTTAAATGTAGGATAAAAATAATCCACATTTTATCATGAAATTATTATCAATAATTTCTAACTATTTATATTGGAATAAGAAATTCATTTAAATGTAGGATAAAATAATTCACATTTTATCACGAAATTATTATCCTAGTAACCAAAGTCAAGTCCTAAGCATGATGCTCACGTTAGTGTAAAAATATCCAATGATTACATCAACTTTATATTTGTAATTTTGGTCATCTTATTTAATTAATTTTAATAACAGTAAAAGTGCTCTGTCAAATACTCATGCACGTTTACAAGACGTGATTATAATTATCAATTTCCAAAACACCAACAAAAGAATTAATGAAACATTTGAAGTGCTTATACGAAAATTTGGATGCTCAATTTCCAAAAACTCCAAACCGGAGACGTCAGAGTTAGTGCGCAGTGTGATATTATAAGGGAATGCTCCGTACTTTCGTTTTTCCCGCCTTTTCCTCACATATCTGTGTTGATCACGCGAATTCACCCGTACGCTACCCATTTCCTAAATTTCAAAAAGCACCCAAAATCCTCTGCGATTGTGGAGCGTCAACTCGAGCTTATTTTCTCACAAGTCAGAAACGAAAGGAGGCGCGCATGGTAAATCTCGTTTCTATTTAGTGGTAAGGTTACAACTCTATGCTCAATTTCTATTAATAGTAGCCGGCTATATTTGATTCACCAGATTTTGGATCATCACTGATAGATTTGAATTTTTTAATCTCTGATTCATCTTCTTCTCTAATAGAGCTTTAGCGTTTCGTTTTTGAAAAAGGAAGTAGTAATACCGGAAATTGTTCTAATAAAGCAATTTGGAATTTGGGTTGGATATTGAACTTCTGGAAGTTTCATCTGTAATCTTCTAGAGTTAGCGTAAACTAACTATTACAAGTTCTTTTGGAAGATCAGTTCTCAGTTATTCTGTGCTCTGCGTGTGTGTGAGAGACAGAGAGATGAGTTTGTGTGTGCGTGCGTGTGAGAGAGAGACGTGTTTGTGTGTGTGTTTTGAATGCAAGCAATAATTATAAAAGTTTGACGGTGGAATTTGTTGCTAAACTTGATTAATCACTCTTTCTGCTTACATATTCGACACTCACGGAATCAGTTCATTTTGGATCAGCTGAATTTGCGACTATGGAGGTCAACAGGAAGCCAAATTCACGAGATGTAAGTGGTCAGCTCTGTAATTCGAGTCTGAGTTGCTTAATTGAAGCAATTTAATTTGCAGATTTTCATCTGAATGCTATAATGGGATCTCGCTGAAGCATATTTGCTCTGTCCCTACTGATTTTTCCGATAGTTTTATATCTCTAATTTCATCGGTGCTCTGTATTTTTTACCTGCTACCTCAACAGGTAGATAATTCTGTCCCGTGAAGGCTTGGACAGATGGGAAAAATCACCTAGTATTTTGACTCCATTGGGGTTTAAACTTGAGACCTCATGGTTCTCAAGCCACTTCATTGAATGAGTGCAATTTTCAAAAAGTTTTAATTAGTAAGATAGATGTTGAATCACTTTTATTTTTTCCTTGTTAGGACCCTATGAGTGACGCTTGGAGTTTTGGCAGCAATTATCACCCATCCAGTCAATCTAGAAAAATATCAGTTGGAATTGTGATAGATTCAGTTGCAAAATGCAGAACACAAAAAGCAAAGCAAGCTGAAAATCACGCGCACGTGGCTGCACTTAAAACTTCTAACAAAGGGACATCTGCTGAAAATGGTGGGACAACAATGGCTCGAAACAAGCGGAATTTTACGAATGACAGAAAGAAGAAGGAAATAGGGAGCACTTCTGCTATCAGAGAGCCCACGGAGCAGCAGACATCTCCTTGGATATCAACTAAAACCCTCCACCATGAACCAAATTTAGAGCCTGTTACTCCAGCAGAGAAACCTTCAATTGTTCAGGGCGTAGTTGAGATGTCCAACAGATCAAACAGAGTGGAGGTAGGACCAGTAGAGTGTTCTTTAAGGGCTTTCTTAATCCAGACAAGGACTTTACAGTTTGACAAATCAAAGCAGGTGAAGGAGAATGCTGCAGTGGAAGAAATGCCTGAGAAAGAAGTCAAAGGAAAAAACGACAAACCAGAAAATGCAGGCAGTGAAACTTTAAGGTTGAAGCTTTGGGAGATCTTAGGAAATGTTTCTTCCCAAAACAAGCAGTGTCCAAATTCTCCAGTTCTCGAGCAGGATGCAAACGCCTCGCACCCAGAGCACAAAGACACAGGATATCATGTCGATGAGCCTAGGGAAAATTCAGATACTATAGAAAGTGATACTCAAAGTCATGAGTACGCTATTAGGAGAGCGGTTACTCGTTCTTTAGCTCGAAAAAGAGCTCCTGCTAAGTTGAAATCATACAGTAGAAAAAGGCCACCGGCATGTAAGGAGGATGGCTTAGAGAAAAATCCCTTCCTTTCAAAAGATCGGTGGTCTAGAACATTATGTGATGCTGGCACTGATAGTTCGTTGATGGAAAATGGAAGGAGAGGCAAGAGGAAGAGTCACCAGATGGATGCATCCAAGATTTGCGAGCAGAACAACGTAATGAAAGATGAAGATGCAAGCAATAGTCATAAAAGAGTACCACTTGCTGAGAAATTTGTATTTCCTGGTGTTGCAGCTGGTAATGGTACTACTTTGTTTGAGGAGGAAAAAGACGAGATGGACCAGCCAAATGCTGATAACCTAGAATCCCCTGTTGTAGAGATGACTGAGCAGCTTAGAAATCTGCAAGAACATGTAGATCAGCATGGAAACTCAGCAGATAAATCCAAGAGGAAAGCATTGGACTCGGACTCTGACGAACAAATCCCAACTTTGGCAATGAAAGCACCTAGCAGAAAATCGTTTCCTGGATTTGCACCAAGAAGCAATCAGGGGAAACCACATGGTGATGTTCATGAACATATAACATCTAAAACTGAGGGAATTTCTAATGTCAAGAGCTCTGATTCTGGCAGAAGATCTTTTCCTGGATTTGCACCAAGAAGCAATCTGGGGCAACCACATGGTGATGTTCATGAACATATAACATCTAAAACTGAGGGAGTTTCTAATGTCAAGAGCTCTGATTCTGGCAGAAAATCTTTTCCTGGATTTGCACTAAGAAGCAATCTGGGGCAACCACCTGGTGATGTTCATGAACATATAACATTTAAAACTGAGGGAATTTATAATGTCAAGAGATTTGGTCCTGGCAGAAAATCTTTTCCTGAATTTGCACCAAGAAGTAATCTGGGGCAACCACATGGTGATGTTCATGAACATATAACATCTAAAACTGAGGGCATTTGTAAGGTCAAGAGCTTTGATGGACTTAAACGAGAATACAAGTCCAATGCACTGGATGAGTCATCTGTATCCTTCTTCTGTTGACTCAACAGTTGTAATCTAGTGATGATTGTCATAGTATTATAGTAATGAGTTCTTGCTTTTCCTTATCGAATGTACAGGATGATGCAGGGAAATTGGGAAGTTCTCCTTTTTCCGAATCAAGGCCTATCAAGGAAGAAGATACACAGTTTAGGTTTTCTAGACCGTCATCCATGGAAAGTGATGCCGAGGGCTCTGAAGACAGTTCAAACATTCAAGGTTAAATTGATGCTTTGAGATTCATGTCCATATATTTATTCGTTGTGGTCTTTTTCAGTTCCTGTAGTTTCTTTCAAAAGTAATCGTAGATCTCCAGATGTTCCGTACTGGACATAAATTACATTTGCTGCTGATCTATGACTTTTACATCTGATTTCCCCATTTGTGGTGGTTGTTTGCCCAATGTTGAAATAGATTTTGCGTGTATATAGAATGTGTCACATTTGATGGCCAAGGTGCATGGAGGCAGGAGCTTCAAGTAAACATTTTGCCTGGCTGTGGAGGAGTGATGTCATTACTTTCTGTGTATTATTAATGGGACCAAATTCCCTTCTAGACTTTGTAATTGGTGTAACTTACTGCTGTTGATGAGATAGAGTTGCCTTGCATACTTTATACCATTAACCCTGACTGATGCTTCTTGCTGTTTATCAGTATGACTGATGATCGCCTGTTATGACTTTAATTGTACACTTTGCTCTTCCTTCAGATTCTTATGTGTTCATTCAATTTATATCTTATTATGAGTAAGGTGTAGTTTGAGAGGTAAGATAAAGTCAAAAGTTTGCTCGAGTATTAATATATTAAGCCCCTTCGGCATTTATCGTGATCTGCTCTTGTTTAGAAATGATTATTTGTTGCTGAAATTGAAGAGATGCATATAGATGTCTCTTATGCATCAACTGCTTAAGGAGAAAGTAGAAAATGCGGAGTAAAATTGGACTTGGTATCTTGAGGTACTTCTAAGATCCAGAGAGTGTTACTTTTCCGCTGGAAATTTTGGAGATTCTTCACCAAAAGCAGACACAATTTAGTACTTGGTGCCTGTTAACATGAAAAAGTGATATGGCTAAGTATTGATCTTCATTCAAAATGAATATTATTTGATTGATTTTCTGCCTGACTGATGGAGCACTGTGTGGGAACTTCTAACTGACCTTTTATTAGTAAATAGGTTGTTGAGCTAGCCATCTTAACATAGAATGAATTTCTTAGAAGTATGCGACCTCTTGATAAGCGCCTCCTTTGACTGAAGCAAAATCAGTTGTTCTCATTACTTTATGATATCTATGCAGGCGGTATACAGACACAACTGTCTCCTGAAAACGGTAATACCAAGGAACAAGAGGCTCCTCGACTGAACAAAAGACTCTTCGACAAAGATGATGCTAATCTTTCTGGAGTTAATCTTGCTGCAGCCTCTTCTAAAGGTTTATGTCCATTGGTTCAATGTTCTCCACTTGTCTGATGGATCTTCGTTTTATTCCTTTATAATTGCTTTTTCCTTTCCAGTTGATCATTCCCTAAAGACTGTCTCTTCGTCTCTCTTTCTCTCTTTGCTCCACATGAATTCAACAGGAATTGATTGTAGGAAGCTTGAGAGGTATTTAGCACAGAATGAAGAGGATGCGCTAACTAGGTATTTCTTGCATTTTCAGATTAAATAAAATTAAAAGCTTTCTTCAGCACTGAATTCTATTTTCCGAGTAGATGAACTAAAAGATCCTTCAGAAGTTTTTCTTTTTCAACATTTCATTGAGCGTCAATATCATTTTGCAGTGCCATGACCTTATTTGCTATCTCGTTGGAGAAAGTTAGAAGCAAAATTAAGTCTGTTACTAACCAACGATCTGCTGAGATTCTGGAGTCTGTTGCGGAGAATATACATACGCAGTTACAGAATGCTGAGTTTCAGATTAAAGCAGACATGTAAGTAGAGCATAAAATGGCAGTTACAATTTGGAAGAGTCTGTCTCTTTAACTATGATTCTGCTCTGTTCCAGGGGAAAGATAACCAGTCTGAATAAATCAAAGAGAAAGCATGTAGAAGAAGTGCTTCAAGGTAACACATTAAGAAAATATTAACAATTTGCTCGAGTCTACTGTGTTCTGTTGTTCTAATTGAACATGGTAGCATTTTGCTCAAAATTGAGTGCCTGAGGCAGCTTAATTCTGCTACTTTCTATTTGTTTATGTCATGGAAACGTTTTCCTATCAGTAACATGTTCTAACTTGTTCTTCCAGATGCCCTTGGGCTGAGGACTATTCTGCACGTTTGAGTTGTGTCACAAGTTTATTTTGTATTTTACGTTGTTAACTACCACTTTGAAAGGATCCATCAGATTTGCGTGCCATAAATCCCAGCATGACTAGTCTCATATTTTAGTAGTACTATTCTTCTACAGAATTTTGTTTTCTTAACATGATGAGCTTGTGGAATTAATACTATCTTCCATAAACGCAAATTCACACGGAAATTTGGCTCTTCTACGTTTCTTTCCCGGATTTTCTGTGATTCCTCTTCTCCAAAGCTATGTGGTTCTTTTGCTTGTCTGAAAAATAAGTTACTCTGAATTACGTTACAGCGAAACAGCAGCATCTGAATGCCATATACGAAAGATTCAAAGAAGAGGTCAATCAGCATCTCCAGGATTGCAAGAGCACACTTGAATCTCTAGAAGCACATGAAGTTGAAGTGAAAGCAACTGTGGAAAAAAGAAGTATGATAAGATCTTCTATGGATTTTGTTAATGTATAATTATTTAGTCGGAGCCAGCAATTGTCTATATCTTGAATATTATTTCATCTACTGCATACTAGATCTTCCAGATGACGGAAGACTAGTAGTTGATGACATAACATGTTCTTTCTTTGCTAGTTAAACAAATATGTTAGATTCCCCATGACTTATTGCTGCAATATGCTTTTGCTGCTCATACATTTTGTGGCAGCAAACATTGATGCGGTGCTACAGTTATATAATGGACCTGTGCCTTCTAATCATGAGTACAAGCTAACTTCCGATGTTTCTGTGGATTTTCATATTGTAGAAGCATCAAGTAGGAAACTACTTTTGGAAGCGGAAGAAGCAATTGAGACTCAGCTTGATTATGCTGAAAGAAGGATTAATTCGATCCACCATGTAAGTATCCTGCACTCACAATTTGAAGAGCAGCTTTTCATTTAGCCTTTACGCCCCCCCCCCCCCCCCTCCCTACCTTAACCTAAAAAAAAAAAAAAAAAACCAAGTCCTCCCCACCTGCTTTGCCGACTAGGATGTGGTATGAATGGTACTCATCACTCATCAGGTTTTCATTATACATCTTATACACCTGCATTGTGGCTTCGATTATCTATCATGTGTACTATTTCAATTGGCTGTTTTCATGTCAATTTGCTACGAGGTTAATTTCACGTATTGTCATTAAACTTTACCTCTGAATGGTGCTCATCACTCATCAGGTTTCCATTATACATCTTATACACTTGGATAGTGGCTTCAATTATCTATCATGTGTACTGTTTCAATTTGCCCTTTTCATGTCAATTTGCTACGAGGTTAATTTTACGTATTTTTGTTAAACTTTACCTATTATAACAGTAAAGTTACGAAACTATCTTTTTCACATTAAAATAAATGAACTTTACCCACTAGAACAGTAAAATAAAAAGAGTCACTCTGTGACATTAGAATAACTAGAGACTTCATTGACCTTTTCAATTCCGGAGGAGATAAATGAGTATTACTTATCTAACTGCAAGTTTTCCATTCATGCAGGTGGCAAGAGAGAAGATGTGTCAGCTGAAACTTGTGGTTGCTGAATGTTTAAAAGAGGGTGTCCTTGGTTGACATAGGGTATTGTTCAACAATCTCGAGGTTTCAGAAGACCACCGTTCTAGGCATATCTGCCTCTAATGCGTGGTAAATAATAGCTATTACATTATTTCCCAAGGAGTAGACTTTTTTACTTTCTTTTTAGGTCTTATGGCGTCTATTTTTCCTATAGTTCACTAGTACTTGGGTAGATGCTCTTATCAACATTTTCTTTAAGAAACGCACTTTCTCGGAATCCTTCTGTGTAGCTTGTCGTGACAAGTTTAAAGTTCTCCCGATTTATGCTTCTTGGAGGGAACACAGCAAAATTTCTCGTTGGTTAAGAGAATAGGCTCCTCAATTTAGCTAATGACTCGGACAGATGGTCATCGTCCTGTTAAACTTTCACGAGCCAACCAAAGAAAATGACTTTGGTTCATGATCCTTGAATTATTCAATTGAGGTTTGTATAGAGAGAGAAGGTTATATTACGCCTTATATATGTACTCAGAATAGAAATACTCATTTCATTTGAAAATCTGATTCTTTAATTGTCAAAATAGCTTCTTTCATTAATTGAATCAAAAGTGAGCTTGAAATAATCCCTCTGAAAAATAGAACGACTCAAACGCAAAACCTCGTAGGATATTGTAGTAGTATTCTTATTGATTAGTCACGTTGTTGGTGTTTCGGTAAAAATGCAGCGCATCAATGGTTATCTGTACTTAAATATTACGCAGAACAATTAATACAAGGGTCAGTAATAAGACATTCAAATGTTTGTGACCAATTGTATACAAGGTTAAGTTTGGAGCAAATCGAAGTAGTCTCAAGTTAAAGTGTTAAACATAGTATTAGTTAAAAGTTGTATTTACTCCCTTAACAAGCACTTTCTACTGAGTTCGACAATGTAATAGTAAGAAGATTTGACCAAAAGATATAACGAGTAATTCCAAATGAAGGAAGATGACTGAGAAATATGTATTATATTATTGAGGTTTTTATATTCCTATACTACGTATGAAACTTTATTCCCATCCTAATCAAGTTTTAACTTAATTACATGGCCAAATACAATTTACCAATTAGATACAAATTAGTTTTAAATGAGTATCCCTTTAAATTGTGAATTGAATAAGGAATCAATTATTTCCCATCCCTGTTCTCTCTCTCATGCGCTCTCTCTCTCTCTCCGTCTCTCTGTCTCTCATTCTCTATTCTTTCCCTAATTTTTCTTCCTCTGAGTTCTCTAGTTTTTATCCTTTCATGTTGTATATAATTTTAATGGAATTCATCAATGGATTTTAATCGTTTTACTATAGAGTTTTAACTTAGCAATTTTCTTTCATGTTGCACGATTGGTGTTCAAATGGAAATTGTCAATCAATAAATTTTGAAGGTATTTGGCTCTCCACCATTGACAGCCATTAAAAAGCTTTGAAACTTTGAAATCAAATTTGGTTTCAAAAATCATTATTTGTTTGGATTAGGTTTTGTTGCAGGTAATATTGTTTGGAGTTTATATCTCAATTTTGATGGTGTTTGGTGAAGATTAAACTTGATTTTGGCTGAATTTCAGATTGAAACTCGAAGAAGAAGAAGAAGAAGAAGAAGAAGAAGAAGAAGAAGAAGAAGAAGAAGAAGAAGAAGAAGAAGAAGAAGAAGAAGAAGAAGAAGAAGAAGAACACATGACATACAATATACTTACGAAATTGTAGTAAAGTTGTATGTAAATTGTATTTTGTTGTAGTTATATATTTTTTTATTTGAATGTTGTACGAAAGTTAAAAAATAGTTGTATAATGTATGAATCGTTGTATAAAATTTGTATTTAAGTTATATATACTATCTTTTTATATAAAGTTATTGATATGTATCAAAATTGTTTTAAGAAATGAAGTTTTAATTAGAATTTCAAAGAGGAAGAAGAACACACCATTTACAAATATACACAAAAAACATATTGCAAAAAATTTGTATGAAAATTATATTTAAGTTGTATGCTGTTGTAGTTGTATTTAACTGGGTAAAAATAATGTAGCATAGTTATAGATAAGTTATAAATAAGTTTTATACTATATAATTAGTTATATAAAATAAATCTTTAGTTTATATGTTATTGTACATGTATCAAAATTATACGTTTTATATATCTAATTTGCATGTTACTGCTATCATTTAAAATATCGTTTATCACATGAAATCTTCTTTATTTCATTAGTAAGTGGTCGAATAAAATATAACAACAACAACATACCCAGTATTATTCCACCCCGTAAGGTCTGGGGAGGGTAGTGTGTACGCAGATCTTTCCCCTGCCTTGTGAGGAGAGAGAGATTGTTTCCAATAGACCCTCGGCTCAGGAAAGCATAATCAAGTAGTAGAATAAAATGAAATAATAGTTTAAGTACTGGAGCTCTATGAAATTAAGTACAGTTTGTCTTAAACTATAAGCTGGTTTAATTTTTCCCATAATACAAAGTGCATCAAAATGTATAGCATATTGCCGAATTGTAAAATTACAGAGTGGGGGCTCTTTCAGCAGTTCCAGCAATAACAACGAGCAAGTTGTTGCCAAAGGGATCACTCAAATAACTAAATAATGTGTAATTAATGGATCAAAAAAATTAACCAAAAACCAAGAAAGAATTATATGCAATACAATTAATTAGCTTTGTCATTCTTTTGAATTTTACATGCATTATTCAAATATAATACAGTTAATTCCTTTCGTAGGATAAATAATACAATTGAGAAAGCAAGAATGAAATGCAAGGACAGAGTGCTAACAATGTATAGCACAAGAACAAGCTTCTTGTTGGGAGAAAACAAATGAGAAAAATAGAAAAGAAAAGAACAAAATAATGAGGAGGAAAAAGAGGTGAGTATACTTATTAAAAAGAGGGGAATCTAATTTAAGTATATCACAAAAACTCGGGTAAGAAGAGCAATACAACTCCCCAGAATTGAGGCAGAAAAATAAGGAAAGAGGATAGGAGAAAAAAAGAGAAAAGTGTGTAATTGAATATCCTAATTTAAGGTATTAATTGTGGATTGTATATAATTTGTAAGTACTTCTTATTTACGGTGGGTAATATACAAAATTAGGATAATTTTAGTAAATAAGTTTCAAATATTGTATAGGAAGGAAAAAATTCCTATATTATTTCAATTAAATTTCAAAGAGTCGTTAGTCATATTAGTTCGGTTAAGTGACTGAAATAACGGGTTACTTCGGTTAAAAAATCCGGGAAATTGCTTCATTTTGGGAGAATTACACTAAACTAGCTGCACAAAAATGACAGCTTAAGAATCCGTTTGGCCAAGCTGTCAAAAATTACTTATTTTGAAAAGTACTTTTGAAAATTAGCAGGTTGTGTTTGACCAATTTGTTTGAGAAGTACTTTTTGCAAAATTTGATAAGCAAATTATGTTTGGCCAATCTTTTCAAAAACTACTTTTGAGCACCAAACTACTATAAAGTACGGTAAAAGTTTGTTCATAATTAGCATTATTTAAAAAGAGAAATTTTAAATTTGTATTACAAAATAATTTAACTAATTTTTATTTTTATGTTAATTGGAATATAAAATGTAAAGTAATATGTATTACAGATTTTAATCATATAAAATATAAGTATGTAAAAGCAATAATATTGGTAGGAACATATATGCTTACAAGTTTCCCCGTATGAAAAACACTATTAGTTCTTGAGAAAATAACAAACTAGGTAGTATTGCTTTATGTCAATTATATTATATGCATGCACGTAAAAAAAGTACAAATAAACTACAAACTGGAGATCATATAATATTGGTATACTATACAAGAAAAAAGTTTATACATTATGAAGAAAGTGTCTGAATCTGGTGATTAGCCCTGCTATTTCAAAGAGTAATAGGAGACGAAGAAAAGAAGAAACTAGAAAAGAGAAAAGAAGAGATCTATTTATATTAGAGAGATTATTCAAAGATGGAATAAGAGAAGAAGAATAAAATACGGTAAAAATTGAAACAAGAAGAAAAGATGGTAGAGATAAAAAAAGTAAAGTTAAATTAATAAGGATAATTTAGGAAATATAATTTTGTGGTAAGGATATTTTTGTCTTGAAAACATTTATTTTCTGCTTCTGCTTCTTGGAAAAAGCTAGAATTGTAGCTTCTTCCCAAAAGTAGAAAAATTATTTGTGCCGCTTCTCAAAAGCGCTTTTTTGTTTTGACCAAACACTTTATATTTCCAAATAAGTACTTTTTTTGGAAAAAATAAAAAGCACTTTTGGCCTCCTGGAAGCTTAGCCAAACATGCTCTAAGATTGTTTTCATTGGCCATGTCGCCCAGAGATTCACCAGCATTAATATTATTTGACATGTCAATCTGACTTCTTCAACTTATCCTTTTATGTCTCTTCATTTGACTGGACACAAAATGTAAAAATGTAAAAAGCATATCTTAAACCAAAACTGTGCATACATATCAAAAATACCATTTGAATCTTCTAGTTCTAAACATGCCATATCATTTTCATATTAGAGTGTCGTAAGAGTAAAATGGGAGCATTGGAGTTAAATAACTTAATAAAGAAAGATAACATTCTTTCGGATACATATTTAAAAGGAAAAAAGGGGACAAAAACTGGAACAGATGGGGTATTACTTTTTGATAATATACAAGAACATCATTGACATGACAATTCATAATCTCATATCGACAGTGTTTCACACAACAATTGTGCCCTGAGCCCTGTAGACGAAAGGTGCACACTCTATCAATTATGGCGTGGACTACCAGGCATCACAGTACAAAAACACGGAGAAAACAAGATTCTAACATTGGCTATGCCAGAGCAGCTTCCCGATTGACATCATTTGACAAAACACCCATGGGCTCCGCAGCATGTTCTGCCTCCAGGTCCTTCCTTGCATGGTGTGAGATATGAAGGTTCGCAAGGGAGTCACTTAGCGCATCGGTGGTTTCCTCGGCTCCTGCTACTAGAGCGTCCACCGCACTGTGACTGGTGGATGTTTGAGTTGGTACCTCAGCAAAATTCAGCTCCAGCTTCTTCAGCTCATCTTCAATATCTTCATCATCAATTTCTGCATCTGCTGCATTTGATCCTGAGGAGGAGTCAGACAACTAGCATTTTTAGCACAGAAACAATGCCAGCTAACTCTTTACTCATCAGAATTAATCAGATTGAGCAGATATGTTCAAATTGTTCGGTTTATCAGTTGATGGGTGAATATCTTCATACTCAAAGGTCATATTAAGCGATGTCCTGACACCAAATTGAGATAGTATATATTAACCTGATAAGGTTCATTATCGTCCATCAGTTTATGAACTGGGAGAGATAATTCAACAAACGGGCTCGATCCATTTGGTTATGTTTTTTCCAGTGAATAGTATATAAGAATTTTCACTACCATGCTTACCGATCGAGTTAAAACTATCAATGCTTTCTCTTGAATTTTAATACTGTTAAGAATGTGACTCGAATTTCGGGGGCGTAAAACTACCTAGAAGTTCATCAATCTGCTTCTGTGATTCAACACACTCGTTCAGCTCCTGTAGACACAGCTCAACTTCATCATAATCGATCCCATTTTCCTTAATAGCCTGTGTGCCAATTCGAATGGCTTCAGAAACCTGCCATTAATCAGGGTTAAGTTTAGAGTTGCCAAATCAGTTCAAAAAGGGCTAATAAGGTCATCTGTAACTTGTCAGTTTAGGATTAGAACAAGCACAGTTTCACATGATATAATATCCAGGGACTACTAAGAAGATCATTCAACCTCCTTTGAGGCTTCTGCATCAGAAATAACTGCAAGGACTTCCTCCACTCGGTTTAAAAGCGCTGTACATTTTTCTCTACTCAGAGAAGCCAGCTTCATTTCCCTTGAACACCTTAGAGCCACCTGTTTGTTCCCAAGTTTTAGAGAAGCTAAAGCAGATTCTCTAGACCTGCGCATAGAACAAGCATCATATTATTGTGGTTAACTTTGAGGAACAGTGCTACCTTTATGAGCCCTGAATAGAGCTATTAAGTCTGAACTTCACAATAAGATTACGTCAAACGATATTGAGCATGCTAGCCCTCTTCTGGCTGCAGGAAAGCACTTTCCAATATTCGTTCTTGATTTTCTTTTTGTTGGATGAAGCACTTATTTTTGCAGGTTTACACGACAGATGCATTTATTGTTGGAATCTCTTCTCAGTTCGTATGAGCATTTAATAATGGAGGATGATAGTCCTTACCTTTTCCAGCGTTGATCTATCACATTAAGCTGATGCTCAAGTTTTTCTACTGTCCCAATCAAATGCAGCACATCAAAATCTAGACTTGTTGTGCCAGAAAGTGCTCGTGCTGAAAGAGAGACTTTCACCCCCTGTATGGAAAAACTACATTCGTCCATATTACTAGCAGTGTTCAAGGATTGGTGAGCCAAGCTTCCAATGATTTAACAAACAAAAGCAGTAAATATGGCAGTATTAGGAGGTAGTCAAGATCTCTGGGATGGCCAGAAGTTTAGGTTCCAATCATAAAGGAGAAACAACAGAACCCAATTGTTATTGAATGGAAATCAAAAAAGATTGTAGGACATCCATATGATGATGTTCTTGATTGCTACAGGTAAAGTGAGCCCGGTAAAATAGTATAGTGAACTATTGCTTCAATACAATATTACTAACTCGTCCATCGCACTATTTTTGGACTAGTAAGTTTAATGTTTTAATACATAGGGATGTTTTTTTGTTAAATAGTATACTACAGGGATTAAGTTAAATTTGAGCCCAGACAACAGTGATGTTTTCTGCCAAAAACTCAAAAGAATGCTGCTTGTTCTCATCACAAAAATAAAAGAAAAAGAGAAAATAAGTTTCGCCATTTCCACCCCGTTCTCATTCTTGGTATAGCTTTCACAGTAATACTATTTGAAAAGAGAAAGGTGAAAGGAGAAAAGTAAACGAGAAGAGGTAAGGGTTATTTCCCTTGCTATACATGAAAGTAAAATGAGAGGAGATGTTAAAACAGAGGGGTAGCATACAGTTATAAAATGGAGAGAAAAACGCGTCTCTTTTATTTCTCTTTCAATTATACCAAATAGCTGGCCATAAATGATGACTAATACTTGAAAGGGAAGCGATGAATTTCTCTGTCATCCACCCTTTCCTCTTTCTTTGTGGAGGAAATGAAATGCAAATGGAGAACAGCATTCCTACTAACATTACCTCCATTAAATCCTTCTTGTTTGTTACAAGGTACTTTGCTTTCCCGCATTCAGACAAGTGATTCAAGACTGCATGAGCTTCCTTGAATCCGCCAGAAAGTTCCTCGAACATTCTCCATGTAATTACACATGAAGCTGTCCAGTGGCTTTCGGATAATGCTTGGACCACTTGAAGAGCCTTTTCCTAGTTGTTTGTTTTGGGGGGGTGGGGATTGAAAGATTAGAACATTCAATGAACCATTAAGGAAACTAAAGTGAAATGATTACTAGGGCTACCTCAAAAGGGAGGTACAGGAAATAAAGCCAAGAAACAAATTAAGGAAAACCATGGGAAAGGAGGAGCAAAAAAAAACGAACAGTAACCAATGAAAGCACAAAAAAAAGCAAGAACAAAGCCAACATTTAACATCATGTAGTATTGGAAATAGTCATAGTCATAGACTGACAAAGGCAATGCTTGAGATAAGGCCATTCATACTTCCACTAGCCTATTTTTAACCGTTCTAGTTTTATCAGCTTTATCTTAATAATTTATGACATCCCCTCCAACTCTAGTACATAAAGATGAATAATATCAATGATTGGTTTAAGAACAAGAAAACAATTACCTTCAGTAATACAGGAATGATGTAATAGTCTTCGGCAAGCTTTTCTTGAGTAGGTGGTCTCAACAGACCTCCCAAATTTACTACTTTCTGCAAAATTTGGGAAACCCAGCCACTAGCTGGATCAGTGACTCCCACATTCTGCAATAGCTCACCAGCGGTATACATTTCAAGCTGCATGTAATGAACAGGATTGTCATGCTGCTGGCTGATGCAATTTGTGGACATATGCATGGGGCAGGAAAGAATTTCAGTTCCAGCGTAAATCTCTAAACTTCTCATTTAAAATTGATAACACTGTTCAACTAATTGAATTTTAAGATCATTTGCTTACAGTCTATTTTGATGATTAATAAGACAGTTCAAATAAAATAATCTTTATATTGCTGCAAAAGAGATTTTATCAGAAAGAACAAAAGGCGCGTTAAAAGTTAAAACCCACGTACAGCAGAGTTCACTAAAATAGGGGGGGAAAAGAGAGGACCAGATAGACTAACGAAAACCACCAAATCTTATATCCACAAATGATCTCTTCTATCCTTACATCAAATTAATCTTTTAGAACAATTCATTCTGTTCATCTAGCTTGTCGTGAATTCCATTCCTCCATCAAACTTCATAAACAAGCCGGGACAAGCCTTGTTTTTTGGTTTTGTTTTTTGTAGTGTCAAAGCTACTTTTCTGTTCTTTCTTGCTCTCCCTATGTTAACCTTCTTATCAGCTCTTTCAAATTTGCATTTTAATGAGTTTGCCTAAGTTTGAGATTGGTGCATAGCTGATTGATTGATATAATCTCTCTACGTTCTTGAACACCAATCAGCAAAATGAATAATCTTTTGTTGCTGACTTCCTTCGACATGTGCGCATGCCTTTGAGTCAATCTATAACCCTTCATGTCTTTAATTTCCACAAAATTACATTTTCCCACAATATAAGTTTTTTTTTTTTTAATTTTCTGAGAAAGCATATAAGATGTTCCATTGAGGATTTTGCCCAATTTCCCTTTTTTTCCTATTTCAAATCAAAGACAGAATCACGCCCAATAATCAAAGCTGATGGGTGACAGTATGACCTTCTTTAGAGATATTCTAAGATCTCATTCACTTTTTCCATGTTAGAGGAATCTTCACCGTTTCCAACTGTGTCTCCACATCCTTCTTATCAGGCGGAGCTTTCCATAGTTTGAACAGATACTCTTCTCCTAATTTTACCATCTGACTTTTCCTTTTGACAAGAGGTCCCCAAAAATAAGTTTGCCATCATTCATTGCTCTATAGCAAAGCCTTCCTCTTCTAGCATCAGCGCTGAAGCTAATATTCTCTACTATGACCAAATAGTTTCCCCCAATTTCCTTCCATCCTCAGTAACAATTCACTGGGATCCTAATACCGCAGCTTTTAGCCTCTCTATTTCTGAACAATGGTGCCCCGACAAGGTTGTGCGTACTTCAATTGTCCCACCAGGTATCTGCATATCCACCAATACATGTACTGATTACTTCTATCTGCCCATGCTTGAGCAAATGGAAAGAAACCTTTTTTATAACACTACTGGTTCGAACCCTAGTCTTCCATAAGTATCATACTCTCTATTGTTTCACTAATGCAGATATGACCATCTTGTTGCAAATTCGACTTATTAGAATTTTACTGGAGAGACTCTTCTTCTGCATCTTCAGGTTGGGTTTCTTCTATTTTTTATTTCCAATTACGGATCACCCACCCAATCTAGTTCCTCTCTCAGTTATCTGATCTTGCTTATGGATATCTCTCTTGACTTAGGATAGAATAAATGTTTTCTTCCATGCAAAGCGCTCGTTTATCTTTTTACCTTTATTTTTAAACACTAACATACTAACATTTTTTGATCAAGAAATACTAACATACTGAAAACAACACACAATTGAGGCACCCAAGGCTATGGCATAATGGTCAATGAAGTGGGAGCAAACCTTGCAGTGGTGGAGCCAAAGTTTTCATTGAACGGATTCAACATTTGTAAAAAATAGGCTACATCAAGTCTGTTTCAATTCAAGTCGAGGGGATTCAACCCTTGTATTTATCATGCATTTTATTATTTTTGGATAAAAATACATGTATAACGAGTATAATTTTTTAGCAAGAGGGGTATCATTTGAACCCCCTTGCTTCAAGGTAGCTACGCCGCATTTCTCATTTGCCTAAGCCTTGGTGGGTAGAGTTACAGAGACGAGCTCAAGCTAGCCCAGATACCACCACTATTAAAAAAAATACACGCAATAGAGACTCAAACTAGAGGATATCAACTACAACAACCACTAGGATCCCACTACTTACCTTATGCTCCTTCCCTTCATCCCCAACCAAAAATCACAAAATAACTTTGAAAAAGATTTCTTATGCAATACATTTTCTAACTTACCAAAAACACATACGACCATATGTAGGTTACAATGTGAGACATACCAATACTTGTTCGAGGCACAAAGGGACGAGGCCTCCTCGGTCGAACCAAATCTTCACCTTCCATTCAGAACACAAAAATTGGTCAATTTGTCATGTTATGGAGCATTATCAGAGACAAAAAAAAAAAAAAAAAGTGATGAAATGACAGGAGAAGTAAAAGAGAGAAACCTGAGAAGGACGAATAATGAAGATGTGAAGATGTCGAGCAACTTTGAGAATCAAATCCCTCCAGAAAATATAAAGAGGCTCCCAATCACTCCTCTGACCGCTGAATGCCTTGTACCTGGCAATCAACTTCACTTCATCGTCCCAATCAGGAACTTCTTTCCTCAAATATTCAATCAGCCTCGACTCCTCTTCTCCTTTAACACTCTCCATTTGCTGGTTTTTGCCCATTAACTGTAAACCCTCTTAAAACGACAGACCTCTCTTATGAAAACTGGGAACAGAAAAGCTTCAAATTTGTTTCATATAACTCTATTTGAAATTGCTAAATTTTCGAAATTTTTGGTTTATTAGATCAAACTAGTGTATAGCGCGGATAACAAAACCTATACAAAACTAAAGGATACTAATCAAATATATTATTTCTTTCTTATTTATTCTTTATTAAATTATTACTATATATTTACTAATCTTACTTTTTATTAACTTGTCAACTGACATTGATACTACTTTTCTTTTAATGGAACATTACTTTTCTTTTAATATAACATGAATATACATTTTCAGTCTCGGAATATTTTTATTTTTAAAACTTCTGTTATACTGATTAAAATTCTTCATATTTATTTGAGTGATACTTAATTATATTTTAATTTTTAATTAATTAAAAGTACAAATATCCTAAAATTATCTTTATCCCCTCTTTTCGTATATTCTTTTCGACTCTAATATTTGATTAGTTTTCTCATTTTATATTTTACTTAAAATTTAAATAATATAATATATTTTTACTAAATTATAAATTTGAATTCATCAAAAGTATAAAGATATAAACTTTTTATTATTTTTATAAAAAATCTATCAATACCAATATTGTTAATAATTCTTTCTTTTCTTAGTCATTCTTTATAATTCTTTATTTATTATGATTCAATTATATATTTATATACGATTTTGTAATCATAATTCTAATTATAAGTCTTATATTTTTACTTATGTTACGTCAAGTACTTAGTCCTATATGTATATTATTTTCTTTCTACGTTAAATGAAATAATATTTAATTTTATACATTTTTTACTTCTTCCAAAAAAATATGTTCTTTTACTATTTTGTATAATGTATCAATATATTTAGGATTTTTTTTTTACATTAGATGGAATCCGCAATTAGACTTTTCTTCTATTTTATTTTTAATATAAAGCTTTGAATTTTATATTTTTTACTATGTTGCTTGTAATTGTTTCAAATTCAAATTCGACGTTTCTTGTATGCTTAAATTCAAATTCAAAAAAGAGTAATTAATTATTAGCACCACATAATTCACAATTTAGTTTTTTTAAAAATTAAAATAGAAATCAATTATTATCTAACCTACTAATTTTGCCCAAAAATAGCCAAGTGACTTTTTATTATGTTGTCACTTGGCCTAATATAGTGTATTTGCCTCTCTTCTTATTATCATAATATATTAGTATAATGGAATGGACAGGAGAAAAGCACTCAATTGGGAGCTGGGATGGAGAAATACAATGGCTAACCAAGAGAGTCAATAATGGGAGACCAAGGGCTCAAATCATGAAGTTCTTATTTGCAGCAACAGTATATTCACCTGGCTGNGACAATCAGAGAGATCACTCTATAGCTGCACATAAAGGGACAACATCAGAGTAAATGGAAGAACTTGTTAGAACAATTAGATAGATTTCCTATATGAAACAATGTATAGAGACTAGCATGCTAGAAAAGAAATAGGAAGATACTGTAATAGGTTATGCTGATAGGATCTAGCTCTAGAATGAGCTAGCGGTTGTACATATTTCATTGGTTAAATATAAAATTTTTTGTTTTGACCAAAAAAAACATAATATATTAGTATAGCACCTGCGCAATCCGTGGAGAATATAAATCATGTTGCATGATCTTATTCTAATTAAAATAAAAATAAAAATACTATTAGGTTTTTATACATAAGATAAGCTTATTATATATATAACAAAAACTAATAATTATTAAGAATATTGTAGACTTTATATAAAAATAATAGAAGGATTATCTCTTTATACATTTGATGAATTCAAAATTATAATTAGTAAAAAGATATTATATTATTTGAATTTTTAATAAACTACAAATCAAAAAACTATTCAAATGTCACAGTAGAAAAGAATATACGAAACGAGGAAGATAAAGATAATTTTATGATATCTATATTTAGAATTAATTAAAAAATAAAATATAAATAAATAACACTAAAACATTATTGATAAATTTAGATCATTGAATAATTTTGAACAATATAACATAAGTTTAAAAAAAAGAAATAACTTCAATATATATCAATGTTATATTAAAAGAAAAATAGTAGTATTAAAATATTAAGCAAGTTAATTAAAAATCACATTAGTAAATATATACATACCCAAGCACTTCCCCGTGAGAGGCAGTGTTTGAGTTGGAAAATGGGGAAGGAGATAATGAGAAAGGCAGAGGAGTTGGTAGAGAAAAGAATGAAAGGAAACGATGCTTCACATGATGCAGCCCATGCCTTCCGAGTTAGAGACCTTGCCCTTTCACTTGCTCGCGAAGAAGGCCTTTCTTCTTCTCCTCATTCCATGCTTATCGTAAGTTAGAGACCTTGCCCTTTCAAACTATTACTACTGTTAATTATCAACATACATATTCTTTGGATTTCACACAAATGGAGTATGATTTGGAGCCTTGATAGAGGGTTCAAATTATTACTACTGTTCATAATTTGTGAGTTGCTAATTTGTCCTTTGGCAAAATTGGGGCTTTCTTAACCATTTTCATGAAAGGCACTGCTTGAAATATTTACATGTTGCAACTTTGGAAGCAGTTTGCTAGGCTTTGCTTAAAGTTAAAAGCCAACAGTGTATGCTGATAATCGTATTAAGTTAATCCTTTCAATGATTCAACACTCAGCTTACATTTACCAAGCACTTTCCTTCTTCATAGCACACCACTAACTTCTGAGGATCCAAGTGCATATGTTGTTGAAAATGTGGATCACTATGAGCAGAATTTGCTTGAGGATGCTCTTTTTTTTCTTCTATCTTTTCTACCCTAGGACTCAATGATATGGATATGTAATATAAGTTGCCAATAGTTAGTTACTAAGATTTGATTATGAGTTATTAAATGGTAAAAATTCGTAATTGGAAGTTTGTTATCATTCTTTTAGGCATTTACACAAGTTAAAACTCTTCTTGCTATTATTTCAGGTGGAACTAGCTGCTCTTCTACATGACATAGGTGATGACACTTTCACTCTTTTTTGGAGATATTAGAGCTTTAGCTTAGAGCGACTGTGTTAACATATTGTTAGAATGCTTTTGTACATTATTTACATAGTGCTGTGGCTATCTTTTTTATTATCATAAATCAACACTGTAATATATGAGGGAATAACCTATTGGATTATGAGGATGCTACTTTTGCTGCTTGGGGTGGGGGAGACGAGGGGAGGGGATGGGATCTATTTGATGACTGTCATTTTACAATACGATTGAAAGAAAATATTATAAGCAATTGTGATGAGTGAGCTGGCATCTCTCTGCTTATAATCAAGTTTTCTCATTATTCCTTTGATATATTATGTAACTAATCAGATTCTGATTGGCTTAATGAATGCAGGTGACTACAAATACGTAAGGTTAGTTTCTATTAGATTTCAAGATATGAAGGATTTTTTTGTAGTCTACATTCTCATGGCTTGGTGTATGAATGTTTGCTTAAAAAGGTGATAAATTTCTGTATGGACGTCAAAATGACGCCCATGCGCCTTCTTGAAGTGTCTTGGAAGGGTGATGTAAGACAAAGAACCGACTTCCATGTGATTACTTTCTGCCAACCGAATGTCCCCTTAAAAGGTGATAATTTTCTGTATGGACATCAAAATGACGCCCATGCGCCTTCTTGAAGTGTTTTGGAAGGGTGATGTAAGACAAAGAACCGACTTCCATCTTTCTGCCAACCGAATGTCCGCTTAGTGCACTAGACTAGATTTAGTGCAGTACTATGAGGCCAATGTCAAAGATCATAGAGTGCATACGAGCATTAGAGGAAAGACATTAGCGTTGGTTTTATCATCTTTGGCATGCTCTTCCCATCATTTGATTGATAGCTCTATATGGTCATGTTTTTTTTTTCTGTGCAGAATAATCTTCTTAAAAAGTTTTGGGGTCCATCCTTGTATATTGCTTAATTACTGGTTTTTCTTGTCTTCTCCCAAGTGTTCACTCTCAATAACTGACTTCCCATTTTATTCATCTCTGATGCTTTCTCTTGGCTTCTAGAGATCCATCTGAGGCAAGGATTGTTGAAGAATTTCTTCAGGGTCAAGGCATAGAGGAAGGAATGAAGATAAAGATATTGAATATAATAAAGGGGATGGGTAAGTTTGTCGATACAGTTGATTGTCTACTGTAGTTATGTTATCTTTTTGGATGTTGATGTGATTTTTCTTGTTCTCTTCCGTCCTTCTTAAATTATTTGTGTTGACACACTCTTGTAACATAAAGTAAAAACTATCTGATAAAGTAGAAAATATAAATTCTGACTTCATACAGAATAATTTTATAATGTGTGTCACTTTGAAATTGAATTAGCCAAAAGTAAGGCAAACAGTATGACTCTCTTTCTGTTAAATCATACCTTTGAATATTCTATTGCTTCAACCTTTGAAATTTTCTTATTCGTCTGTGCATGTCTGGCACAAACCTTAAACATATCATGCCGACATGATCAGGCTATGCATGTCTAATTACCAACATGATCTGCTATTCATGTCTAATTACTGGAATACAAATTAGCGACCATAATGTTATTGTATTGCCATACCAAAAGATTTTCCAAGTGGTTTTGTGTTCATGACGATGTTTTCGTTACTGTCTTTTCGTATGTGTGGTTAATATAGTATTATACCCTGTTTGGCCAAGCTTAAAAAATCAGCTTATTTTGAGAAGTGCATTTTTTTTTCTAAAGTACTTTTGGTGAGAAACGGTTTGTGTTTCGCTAATTAATTTGAAAAGCACTTCTGAGCAGCAATTAGTGTTTGGCCAAGCTTTTAAAAAGTGCTTTTAAGTGTATTTTTCTCAAAAGTGCTTTTCAAAGATGTGCTTTTGGGGAGAAGCTACTTTTCTCCGCTTCTCCAAAACTGCTTATGCTTCTACCCAAAAGCACTTTTTTTTCTTCCAAAAGAGCCTGGGCAATAACGATTAAGGAATTTGAGCGCTGATGTAGCTAAGAGCCACCTTCATGCCGCCAGAGAGGCTGAGGTGAGTATCGTCGCATCGCCTCCGACAACTTCTTTTTGGGGTGGGTTCTCCGTGGACAATGCCACCTTAAATCGTTTTTTTAGTCTTCATCATTTACTCCCCTTTATTTTAGTAGGCGCCAGTCTTCTTCATCTGGCCGCCCAGTTTCCCGAGGCGTTGGAAATCCAGACCGGCTCAGAGAATCACTCTCGCTATTTAGCCCTTCGTTCCGCCAACAAGTACTCTCCGAGGGCATGGAATGTCTAATTTTTTGGTCAGAATATCCACAGTAATGTCTCTGTTAGATTCTCCGGTCGAAATAACTTTGAAAAAAAAAACGCTTTTTTTTAACAGACTTATTTCATGTAAAACTCCGTCTGTATTTTCACACGACCTTTCTGCTTTCCCATGGAGTGATTGGTGATTGTGTTTCGCTCTCATTTTCTGCACTATAATCTGTCATCTTCGTTGGGCTTCATTTTCTCTGGAAGATCAATGCGCAAGATGATTGTTATCTTCTGATGATTTGAAAATATTGGCAAAATGAACTGTTGCCTTTGATATAGGTTTCAAGGAAGAAGTTGGAGGGCTTACAAATAGGAATTATTCAATAGAGTTTGGGGTGGTGCAAGATGCAGATCGACTTGATGCAATTGGTGCAATAGGTAATTGATTCAATTTAATTACCTCTTGGTGACCTGTTTATGTTATGTCTCCTCTCATTCTTTGTGGCAGGCAGATGCTGCTTTAGATTTGAATTTATGCTACTTGAATTTTTGCTGATTACATACTGCTTGGTTGTGTTCCTACCTTAAAAAGATGTTGGTTTTTCATAATTTGGATATCATACAATAATTATGGTTTCAGGAATCGCCCGTTGCTTTACTTTTGGTGGAAGCAGGCATAGAGTTCTCCATGACCCAAAAATTCAACCTCGATCGGATCTGTCTAAGGAAGATTACATGAACAAAGTAGAGCAGACAACTGTGAATCATTTTCATGAGAAGCTTCTCAAATTGAAGGACTTGATGAAGACAAAGGTCAGCTAATCCTGCGCTTCTGTATATTTTGCTTTATCCTTTCAGAACCTAATAAATTGGGCAAGAAGAATTTTCATATGAGTTTTTCTTTTAATTTATTATCTGAGCCGAGAGAAATCATCTCTTTATTACAGGCTGGGAAGAAAAGAGCTGAGAAAAGGCACAACTTTATGGAGGATTTTCTGAAGGAATTCTATGAAGAGTGGGATGGGAGGGCTTAAATGAGGTAGCAGTTTTCCAGTTGATGTTTCCATGTTCCTAAATCCGCCCCGTTTTATGTAATGGTGTTTAACTGCGCGCAGGCGCGTAGAGTTTAAGAAAGAAAGAAAGACTATGGTCTAAAAAAAGCCATAAAAATTTGTGTGCCTATAAATCAACTCATTAAGGGTAAGATGAGAAGTTTAAAGTTAAAGTAGTTCGTAATGTAGAAAGATATGTGTCATTCTTTTTGGGACAAACTAAAAAGGAAATTGTGGACCCAAAATAGGACTGTGGGAGTAGTTCTTTGTCTTGGTTGCGCATAACCAAATGAAAGAAGTTCTTTATTTATTAAACTAATTGATGGAGAACTTCTGCATCCTATAATAGAATCTCATTTACATAAAAGGAGAATAGTTCTGGTTGAAGCAGCAACTGATTATTATGAACAGAAATGTTACAAATTTTTACATACCAGGTGGTCAAAGAGCTGAAGCACTTGTTAGATAAAAGTAGTGTATATTACTTCAGTTTCCTGATTAAGCTTTCAGCTCATCCATTTATTTATTTTTTTAATAAAGAAACTGCCCTTAGGAATCAGCTTCTAGGGCTTCTGAAATTGACCAAGATTGAATATGTTAGCTTTTCCTCTGAGATTTTCCATTTGTTTCAAATATTACACACTCCTTATTCATTTTCTGTTTTGAGTATAAAGTGTTGGACCTCGCAGACTCCTTATATAGATTGGTAAGCATGAGAAAGTCGTGTTTGATGCTATTTTGAGACTAGCTTTTATTGCCTCTTCGGCTCTTCCAAGTTTATTGATCAATTTTTTGAATCTTTCTCAATATACTATCAACCTTTGTGGCACTTATCATGAACACGTGTTTGAGATATTGGTTTACATTTTGGTGGAGGTCATAATAAAGTCTGGTTATTTAACCTTTAATTTAAACCCAACAGTGCCGTTTCATAATTTAAGTATAACTTGTAAGTCAACTGCTGCCAATGATATCTATTGATGATCAAATCGGGGCGCAGCTGTCAATGGAAGGATCAGGGTTAGTACACCTTAGGTTGTTGGGACAGAGTTTTTCGAATAGGAGTTCACCTAAACGTTGGTCTTCTGTCACACCTCGGAATGAATATCTCGAGCAACCAAAGAAAACCTCATTGTATGGATCACAACTGGTAACATAAAATGCAGGGAAGAAGAAAATATTCAAATGCCAATGAACCCGACTTAAATCTCCAATACTCAAGTCAGTAATGTTTTTAGAGAATAAAGCGTGTCAAAGAAATTAATTAAAATGTGAAACGAGAACCACAATGAATCTCTTACATTAACTTTATTTGTGTGATCGTATTGAGTTTTGCCACTTCTCCTGTTCATCTTCCTCCTCTCATGTCCTATTGCGCCACTTTATGGATGCTGGCATATTTTTATATCTCTGGTGGGGTGATAATGCAGTTTCTTCCCGTTGGACATGGCTGGCAGTTGGCCATAGCTGGATTGTGATGTTGATTCTTGTAAAGATCACATTGCTTTGTATCTATCTCCTCGGTCAATTGTGAGGTACTAGTAATAATGTAGAGGACGGATTTGATCTGCCACTTGATGGTCACGCAGAGTTATATAGACGATGGCTTGTGTTGTCTTGGCAGACTATTCGTTCTTCCTTCTGCAAGTGTTGTGGATGTTTCTGAAACTCGTATTCACGTCGCATCCTCTTGACATGCTAGTAAGCTAGTGTGTTGATATGCTTTTCTTCTTCAACTTTCCTCAGGGCTCAAGCTTACCGAGAAATCCTTTCCTTATTCTGTCCTGTGGTAAGTTTGTGCCTTGTCTTGTGATGATCTTTAAAGTATTTTGGATTTGACCTTGAGCTGCTGGACATCTTCCTCTGTAAGTTGTGAAATTAGAGCCTTATTCAATTTGGTGATCAGTGTGCAATTCTTTTTTTGTTGGTAACATATGTACATTTTGAATTTTACTCAGCGTGATTTCTCGGTCCTTCGGAATTTTTTTTGATTCACTCCAAAATCTAACATCTTTTAGCTAGCAAATACTTTTAGATAATCTTTTAGTCACATTCCCATTGTTCCTCTGTAAGTTGTGAAATTAGAGCCTTATACTAACAAATGCTGCCAACTCCCATGAGCTTAAACTGATTTGAGATTATAAGAGATAATCTCATGAACTTGTCCGTCGTGGTCTTAATACCGCTATCTCAGTTGCTAAAAATGTTTATTTAAGATTAAAACATGCACTAATCCCTCCATGGTGTTGTTTGTCATATCTCAAATGATGCTTTTTAACATCCTTGAAACTCGATAAATGATGCTTCTTATTTTATGAAAAAGTTGCTATATGTGCGTCTTTTCTGATATTTGCTAACCATTCCCCTTTTTATTGAGATCACAGCTTAGCCTTATGGAATTGCTTCCATGTCTTTTACTTCCTTCTCTCTACTCCTATTCTATTCTAGGATTCTTTTTATGAGCTTCTTGATCCTCGGTTGATCGCCGCCCTAGCCAGATAGTAATTTCATCTTCTCCATTCGTTTGAATTAGGTACTCTTCTTTATAAAGTTGGGGCATGTCACGACCCAAAACCCTCCGTAGGTCGTGATGATGCCTACCTTGCTTGCTATGTAAGCGAGCACACATAAATACCAACTGAATAGAAAGCAAGGCTATCTAACAGATACAAGATATAAATAGAAACAAAAGTCAATTCCTAATATTCATCAATAACCGCGAAAATCTACCAAGAATTAGCGTCACGAGTCAATGAGCTTCTAAGAATAAATACAAATCTAAATAATAAATACAAGTACTATCCGAAAGAAAAAGGACAGTAGACTAAAAAGATAGAAGGAGACTCCTCAAGTTGCGAATCATCCACTGAGCAGCTTGCAACAAGTCTCCACCAAAGTTCCACCAGGCCACCTCGCTGGACCTGCTAACAGCAACCTCAGAACATGTATACAAGTATGCGGAAGTGTACTCAATAAGTATTAAGTCTAACCTCGAAGAAGTAGTGGCGAGGGGTCGACAATAATACTCACTATCAATATCAATAAGTAGTTTATTCATAAGTAGGGAAAATATGAAAGCATGATATCATCGGGCATGGGCAAAAGATAAGAACACAATAAATAGGAAATTTAGACATGTTTCAGGCAAAGGAGATCGAATACGAATTAAATGCATCAATTCTTGCGTATAAATGTGATACGAATCAACTAGCATTTTATATGAATGCTTCTACTTGAATCTAGGATGTCCATACAGACTCAGTCTAGGTATCTTGTCATAACCCGATACATGATTGATGTACCCAACTCTACCTATGGATCTCATGCATGTATAGCATCAAGTAGCATATGTAGATAATATGCATGAATATGGTATGTAAATATGCATGATCTCACTCTCAATACCTCATAGCTCAAATGCATATGCCCGACACTGGCCAAGTGTCCAATCGAGCACCAATCAAAGTGCCTGCGCTTACATGGCCCAAAGTAACATGGATAATCACATGATTCCGGAGGGACAAATCCAAATCCAAGCGCTATTGTGACGTGTAACCCGATCCAGTTATAATATCATTGCCGCGTGCAACCCGATCTAATTATAATGCCATCAATAATCGATAACCAATATCCACTCATAATGTCTTTGATGCCTAAATCCTCAACTTTTCTCAATATCCAACTCTCCAACTCATGCATATGCATATGAAATGATATAATAAAGACACACCAGGACATAATAATAAAATAAGGATGAATAGAGATGGTTATGGCTAATCATATATTTCAATTTTTCATAACAGTTCAATATGCTTATTTAACATTCTTAAGTATGATCATGATATCAGCAAGAGCAAAGTAAGCCAATAGCCTTAAATCATAAATCAAGTAAGACAATTGTATGACTATGGCAAATTTAGAAAGCTCAACAGGATGAAAGAAATTTGTCATATCCAAATCAACAAGTCATAACACTAGCGTGGTCTCTAATCATGATTAGGATTCATCACGTAGTCATAGCATCAAGGAAACATGGATGAACAATTCACATAGTCTAAATGAAGTATATTATAAGCCTTACTCTATCCGGGTGTGGTCACAACTAGTGGTGACAAAATGGTTAAAAGAACATAGTTAACCACCCATATTATCCACTAAAAATTGGGTTGGATAATGAACTTATTAAAAAAGAGTCAAATATGGATAAGAACCATATTATCCATTTAAAAAATGGATAACCAATGGATAACTAATGGGTATAACTTTTACATTTGTAAAACCTCAAATTGGGGGTTCCTCAAGTTTGGGAGACTAGGAATTCTCCCAAAAGTGATCATATTCAAGAAGTCATGGATAATATGGCAACCCATATTATCCGCCGGCTAACCCTTTTTTATCCGTGTTAAATATGAGCCGGGTCGGATAATTTATCCTTTTTTTCATTGCTCGTTTTCGACCCCTTCCATATCCGACCCCACCCGCCCGTCTGCTACCCCTAGTCACAACCTAGCTACACATATACGCTCGTCACCTCACATATACGTGGCATCCAAATTAAGTGACAAGTTTCAAATAAATTACTTGTGGGGGATAATTCCCGCTTACAAAGATATACAAGAGACTCACCTTTTTTCGGTCTAGCTTTTGTTGGAAAAAATTGGATGATTATGGAGAATAAAAGGTTTAGCTTGAGGCGTGTCAAAGACACTGTCCTTAAGGATATTTCGCCCACCCCGAGATGAATAATATTAGGCGTATCCCCCAGGATTCAACAAGCTCTTCTAGTATAACTAGGAGCAGAAACAACAAAGATTTGTGAGAAGAAAACCCAGCACAAAAGAAAAGGGAAGAAAAGTTTTAACTTTTTTCACACAGATTAAAAGATGAAAATATAAATATATATAGTCCAAACCAAATGGACTCTCTGATTGGAAACGTGCAAAGCCATAATGGCTTTTCAAAGCAAAATGACTGTTACATAGAAACAGACGTTTTCAATTGAGAATTAAAATATTTTGAAATATCAATACAAAGACTAATTAGTGAGTTTACAATTCACTGAATAACGTTCAAAAAACCATTAAGGCTTTAATAACAAAACGTAAAACCATTTAAGGCTACAAAATGTCAAACATTCAAATCTCATATATACATATAGGTATCAAAATCAGTTTTAATATTTCAAAATTCTATTGTACAATCTGTTACAAATAATAAGAGTAATTTGTATAATAAAGAGCAATTAATATTATATTAAGGAATGAACATAGACATTAATTTGAATATTTCTTTTTGAGATATTAAAATATTTTTTTTTCCTATCATTTATGACGAACTTGTTTGTCACAAAAAGTGTAAAAATTTTGTAGTTAAAGAAATTGAATCATCACTAAAAGGGTCTTCAATACCGACAAGTCTATTTTGTCACTAACTATACTTTTGATTAGTGACGATGTCGATTGTCTTTAAAGCTATACATAATTTGTATTTAAAAGAATGTGATTACGTCACTAAATGGTTATGCTTTATGTACAAAAAAAACTTTCGTCTCTAAATATATAAATTCGCAACAAATCTGTTTGTCCAAAAAGGACAACAATTTCGAAGTCGAAACTATTTTTGTGTCTCAACAAATGGTGCTATTAGTGATAATACTAATTTATCGCTATATGTTGTCTTAATTAGTGGCAATTTCAGTTGTCGTCAAACATTAAGTTAATTTATAGATAAAAATATAATTATGTTATAATATAAAGACCATTTCTGGACAAACTATTTCTTGTCACTAAATATATGTAACAATATGACTTACTTTCTATAGATAAAAGGGACATTTTTGTGAAGAAAATGTAGCGATCCTAAAATATATAGATATTTAAATATTTTTTTATGACGAATTATATATATAACATTTGAAATTATAGTTAAATGGTTTGTTATTAATTACGTGTATATTTTAATTTTTTAAAATTAGCTTATGTAAATAAAAAATATCACGAAAAATGTAATACCAAAATACATACAAAACATATACTAATAACATCTACAATGAGATAACATCTGAGTACAAACTCACTAATAGCCCGTTTGGCCAAGCTGCAAAAATCAGCTTATTTTGAGAAATTCTTTTTTTCGAAAGTGCTTTTCTTTAAAGTACTTTTGGTGAGAAGCAGTTTGTGTTTGGCTAATTAGTTTGAAAAGCACTTCTGGGCAGCAAATAGTGTTTGGCCAAGCTTTAAAAAACTGCTTCTAAGTGTATTTTTCTCAAAAGTGTTTATCAAAAAAGTGCTTTTGGAGAGAAGCTACTTTTTTCTGCTTCTCCAAAACTGGTTCTACTTCTCCTCAAAAGCACTTTTTTCTTTCCAAAAGCTTGGCCAAACACCTCAATTTTTGGCCAAAAGTGCTTTTGGCAAAAAAAAAATTTTTTAGCAAAAAAAGCTTGGCCAAACAGGCAATAAGTAAATAAAGTGAAAGCACTCAAACATAAAAGGTCTAATTAAAATACATGAATAATGGTAAACTAAAAGAACAAAAGTATGTTGCTTCCAGATCATGTGCCAACGCAGCGTCCCCTTATCTTATAACTTCATTGACGTTTTTGCACCTTCATATATCTGTATTAAAAGAAAAACATTGAGTATATACTTTTTGATTTCATGATTTGAAACAAATATATTTTCAAACTTAAATGATAAAACTAACATTAATTAGTGAAGAAAATAGTAGTAATAAAGTGAGAAATATATAGCAACTTCTTTGCGAAATCGTTACTAGTAGATCATCACAATCTACATATATAGAAACTTATTCCTCATCAAAAGAATGTTAAAAAATACTTCATTACGCGATGAATCAAGGCCCTCGATTTATAGCGAAAGACAATTTTTACAACAAAAGATTGTAAATTTGCTCTTGTGCTATTCAACTCCTG